TTTGAGACAGGGTCTTACTCTGACACCCAGGTTGGAGAGCGATGGTGTGATCTCGGCTTACTGCAACCTCCGCCTCCTGGGTTCAAGTGATTCTCCCACCTCAGCCTCCTGAGTAGCTGGGACCACAGGCACGCACCGCTACACCGAGCTATTTTTTGTATTTTTTGGTAGAGACAGGGTTTCTTCATGTTGCTCATGCTGGTCTCAAACTCCTGACCCCAAATGATCCACCTGCCTCAGCCTCTCAAAGTGTTGGGATTACAAGCGTGAGCCACCACATCTGACCTATAAAGCACTTTCTACATATATTTTGTCACTTAATCTGTATATAATAATGTGAGGAACACAGGTTTCTATTATCCCAATTTAAAGAAAGACCAGCCCAAGATATCACAATAATACACCCAAGACTGGAATCAAGATTTTCTATTTCTCTATGTTTTTTTTTCTACAAAGAAATCACAACCATCAAAGCTAATTTGGATAAAGAAAATAAATTCACATACTGAGTAATTATATGTACCAAACACAATATGAGATGGTTTATTTTTATCATTTAATCCTCACAAACATCCCTCTGCAGTGTGTTATGGTCTTCATTTGGCAGTGACGCTGTTTTAGCAGAGAGGTTAGATAACTTGTTTAAAGTCACAATTAGAAAGTGGCAGGGGCCAGGCACAGTGACTCACACCTGTAATCCTAGTACTTTGGGAGTCTGAAGCAAAAGGACTGCTTGAGGCCAGGAGTTTGAGACCAGCCTGGGCAACACAGTAGGACCTCATCTCTACAAAAAATAAACACTTTAGGAAGCTGAGGTAGGAGGACAGGAGTTCAACACTAGCCTGGGCAACATAGCAGGGTCTCATCTCCACAAAAAGTGAAAAAAAAAAAAACAAAATTAGCTGGGTATGTTGGCACAGGCCTATGGTCTCAGCTACTAAGGAGGCTGAGGCAGGGTGTTCACTTGAGTCTAGAAGTTCAAGGCTGCAGTGAGCTATGATCACATACTACTCTACTTCAGCCTGGGTGACAAAGCAAAACCCTGCCTTTAAAAAAAAAAAAAAAA